ATTAATCCAAATTTTAAAAGTTTAAAACACTATAAAAAATAAAAAACAAGGTGCTTTTTGAGAAAAAAACATAGAAATATCAAAGGTAATATATATATATATATATATATATATATATATATATATAATTGGCTTGATTGATATTATGAGTTTATTTATATCATACGAAATATTTTTTAATTATATTATAATATTTTTATTATGATATCTAAAATACTTGTAATAAGTTATTTTAATTTTTTATTTGATCAATATTATTCTTAAATTATTATAAATACCTATTTGTATAATAATATGATATATCAAATGATTTTTGGTATGTTTTAATTTTATTTAACTCATTTTAATTGTGTTTATTATAATGATCAAAAAATTATAACATGTCAAAATACTAGCAAATATATGTGTGTGTATACATATATGTATACACATATGTACATATATTTATATGCATATATATATATATATATATGTATGTATATATATTTTCCTATTTATACACACACATATATGTATATGTATATGTATATGTATATATATGTATATATGTATATATGTATATACATATATATGTATATATATATATTACATAAAATAATCCGAGTTATTTGTTTGTAAAAAAAGAGTCTGATATAAATTTTTCCCATGCTATATATTGTGAATATCCTGGTTATTTACCATATATAAAATGTTTTACTGATTTCTTTTTATTTTGAGGGAGATCTCGTAATAACAATATATAGCATGTAATAATTACGGATTCAAATAACATATTTTTAAAAAATCAAAGTCATATATTATCCTCGTGATATTTTTTAATATCTTGGTTAATTTATCAAATATAAAATATTCGTGGGAGGAGATCTTAGAATAACAATATATAATAAGGTAATAAATCGTGTCTTGGAATTAATTAATATATATATTTGAAAAATAAATCCACCAATAATACTACAAAAAAATTGATACCAAAGGGAGGGGAGTGAGTGTCCGTTTATATGCCATATTACTAATTTTTGGAAAGCGATTTGGGGGTTTTCTTACTTGCCTTTTGTAAAAACGCATGTATAATAAATACAAATTTTTCCAGTGAAGCACAGTGGTTTGCATGTGAAATCAAAAGGGAGAATTCTAAATTCTCCACTCCGCCCACAAATTTGTCGTCTTTCTCCGTAGCGGGGATTCTTCCGCAAGGTTTTCTAGGGTTTTCACCTCGCACCGCAGGTGCTTTCTTCTTCGCCTTCCCCGGTCCTCCCCTTTCGTACCAAAGAGGATTTTTGCGTGGATTCGGCCCACCGGATCTCGTAATTTATATTTTAATTTCTTTTCTAATTACCTGACATTAGGGGTCGAGATTTGTATTTTCTCTTACCGAAAGCCGGCCTTTTCTTTCATACCCGGCCGTCTACTGGTCCGGTTAGTGGTTTTGAGCCTTTGGTTTAGGGTTCTTATCGGCTTCCTCTTGTTAATTATATTTTGTTTCTTTTTAATTAGATATTCGAAGTATAAAACTACGATTTTGTTGTTTTCTTTTCTTATCTTTTTAGGAAAAATAATTGATTAAAATTCGAAGAATTTCCCCTTTTAATACCTGAAATTTATAATATAGTGTAAATTCGAGGTTTTTGATTAGAAGGGCATCATAAAAATCTGTTTTTTCTTTTATCGTTTTTGGCGGCAAGCAGTGGTCTCTCTTCGTCGTCTACGGTTGGGATTGTAACAGTGGTAACACATCAAGCGTGTGGATCCATGGAAGCAAGGTTTCAGCCTCCTGTGTTCAATATAAAGGTTGTCGACGGCTCGAACGGGATTGCGGCATATGAATCTGTGCCGCTGGGCGGTGGTAGTGTTCCCTCACAGTACCAAGGAGCGGGCGGTGGCAGCAACGGCAGCGTCGGTGCTGGTGCTGGCACCGGAGAGCCATTCAAGAGGAAGCGTGGCCGGCCAAGGAAGTATGGTCCTGATGGTAAAGTGATCCTTGCGGTGAACCCAGTGTCCGCAGGTCCTGCAGCTCCTCCGACCACTGGAGCGTTCTCTGCTGCTGCTAATGCCGCAGCAACAGCTGCGGCAGAGGGCGTGAAGAAAGCGAGAGGCCGTCCACCGGGTTCAAGCAAGAAAAAGCAGTTAGAAGCTCTGGGTAATCTAGATTCTCACCCAATTGCAATTGGATTTCTTAGTCACATGCTTCTACTTATTCTTCCAACGAGGAATGAGTCTGATTCTGTTAGTAGATTGTTGCAAAGAATGAAATATCAGAAGTTGCTTTATGACCATTCGATAGATTATCAAAATAAAAGAAATGATTGTTTACATAAGACATGGTTTGCTCCTTGCCATCTATCACTGCATGCTTTTAATGTGACACATCGTAAGCTGTAGTTCTTAGTTATATGTTGGTATTAATTTCTGGAATAGTTATAAGCCTCCCCATGATATGTTCAACTTCAACTAAAGCTTCATGTGGTTCTTCCTTGGCAATTTGTGTCTATTTCTTATTGAATTTACAGATTTTTTTTAGATATAACATGTTAATTGATTTAAAATTTGGGTTCTGTATACCATTTCTGTCATTCTCAATAAGATTATATTAAGCCTTTCTGTTATCATCGTTTGATTATTAATTTGCTCTTAGAAACTTTGTTTCATAATGACTTTCTTGTTGTTTGGATAACCTCTACTGGAATTGTTATCTTTTGTAAATTTTTCATTGGCATCTTTAGCATTTTTTGTTCTTACAAGGACAACTGCTTGCAGGTTCAGCAGGGGCTGGATTTATTCCACATGTTATTACAGTTAAGGTTGGAGAGGTACTTATTTTGTTTTGTTTTAATGGGACACCTTTACTCACAGCACTTTATTTATGGTAGAGACCACTTTATTTGAGTTCAGATCCTTGTTAAGCTAGAAAACTCATATTCTCACGGGAGAGATGCAAATTATGGTATACTGCCTTCTGGAGTCTTTGTGCATTGTTTTATTTCATTTGCTTACTATTCTTTGCTTTTTGAACTATAATATATTATTATTTTGGGTAAAATGGCCATATTCTTTTCAGGTGTTACTAGATCATTTTGCTTTTCCAATGACTAATTTGAGGTGGATTAATTAACTTGATTAGCAGTCATTAGTAAAAATCCAAAATTCAGCTTCTGCTTATCTGCATGCTATATGTTTACTCTATCTTATATTGCATCACCCTTTTTTCTTGTAGCCCATAACTTTTTTGCATGCAATACCCAATTGTAGGTCAAGATGTAACAACTTGAACTTCATAGTCATATTTTGTTGGTAAAATTCTCATCCAGAGTTTTAATAGAGATGACCGATCAAGTGAATATCCATATATTGTCATCGAATAGATAGCTGGCATCTTATCTGAACCCATGTATGAGCTTTTCATTTATTTGGTGCTGAGTTAAATGCAACAATTAGATATTGATTTATCATTGCTTGTCACATATAATATAATCGCAATGCGAATCATTAGATCTGATCATTGCAATTTCAAGTAACCACGATCAAAGGGAGAGGAATATATGGATATACATGAAAAAACAGAAAGGAGGTTCTCTGCATTGAGAAATTAGGTAAAAGAAATAAATGGTATAAAATTGATTGTCCTAATCTGATTCTAATAAATGGCTCAATTAACAGAGACGCATAGCTCAATTAACTTATGACATCTCAATTCAAATATTCTGCAGAATGGAATCCGTACTTTAAATAGTCACTGTCACTTGTTTTATAGATTTACCCTGTGGGCTCTGCTACAGCTATCCAATTCTTGATGACTGGATCTATTTGGCGACCTACTTGTGAGATGCTCTTTCCTACAAATAAAGCCTTCACATACCTCACGACCTAATTCTGGAAGTCTGTTATGGTGCTTGTATAATGTCTAATGGCAAGGCCACCAACAGACACCCTGCATTCACTTTCTTTGTGCCATTTCTCATCAGATATATCTTTTACCATTCTATTTGATTTCCTGGATAGATCAACTGCACCCTGTTGGTATCTTCTATGTGTGGATGATTTTCTCTTTTTGTCTTGGTTACTCTTCCTTTTGTTCTAAATAATCATTCTGATTACTCTTTCGAGAAAGAAGTCAGTCACAAGTTAGTTGGGATTAGGTTGCAGGTTGTATTGCATGTAGTTTTAAAATTTATGTTCAGCTTAGTCAATTCTAAACTGTAACTACCTGCTTGCTATATTTCAGGATGTATCAGCAAAGATAATGGCGTTCTCACAGCAAAGCACCCGTGCAGTTTGTATTCTGTCTGCCAATGGTGCAATTTCAAATGTGACTCTTCGTCAGGCTGCAACATCTGGTGGTACTGTAACATACGAGGTCTGATTTGGGAACTTGCCATCTGTATTTAAATTATCTTTGCAGGCTTAGATCTTTTTTTGCCACCAAGCTTTGTCTTCATAATTCGTGACACATTATAGCCAGTTTATCTGCTTTGATCTTTCATATTGCTATTGCTGATAGATCATCCTTGTTTTTGGTAATAATTTAATGATATCATATTATTATCTGCTTCAGTATACTGATGATCTGAGACATACGGATTCAATGAGTCTTCACAACTTTACCTATTTTTTGGTTTTTGTTTACATTTTCTTGAACCTTTATAAGCAGGGGCGTTTTGAAATATTGTCACTATCTGGATCATTCCTGCTGTCTGAGAGTGGTGGGCAGCGCAGCCGAACCGGTGGTCTCAGTGTTTCATTGGCTGGTCCAGATGGTCATGTTTTAGGTGGTGGAGTGGAAGGGCTTTTGACAGCAGCCTCCCCCGTCCAGGTGATTCTTGTTTGAGATTCTTTAAGTGAATGGATCAGTTCTGACACACAATAGAGTGACTGTTTCAATGAATTGTTTTCTTTGTTATTTGTGGAAGTTCATCACCCTCTTATCTTCAAAACTTAGTATCGGAATATATAACCGAGATGTTCTCTACACAAAATTTTGAGGATTATTGCCTGTTGTTCGGATTCTCACATCATTTACTATGATTAAACATATACAGCCCTTACAAAACTTAATACTCCTTGAGAGTTAAAAACTTTAATTGGTTTTAAGTGATGAGTTAATGAACATCTTATTGTAAACCAAACTTATTGTTGAATTGTGCACAAGAACCAATGATGTTTCCAGTATAAGAATTGTGCATTTTCACCCAGCAGGTTTGTCTTAGCAATCTTTTTACGTGATGCTGTTTGAAAGGATGTTATATTGCTGTTGAAAAGGGTCGCTATATCTTCTTTCAAGTGATTTTACATATGTAGCTATTGAACTTGAGTATTTTGTCCAATTCTTCAACTCAGTGATCTGTTGGTATCACAAAGAATTGGTCATTGCAGATCATTGTGGGCAGCTTCACTGCTGAAGGGAAGAAGGAAGCTGAGCAGGCTCATGCTTCAGAGCCCGCTTCTGGCTCTGGAAAGCTTTTGATGCTAGGAGAAACCATCGGAACGATAAATCCACTCACCGGGAGCTACTCAGCTTGAGCATCACTATCTTCATCTTATCGTATGGATGAATGGAGCTTGTCGAGCATGCTGTGAATAACCTTAGCATAGATCTGTAACGTTACTAGTCATTAGTATGCAGTAAATCTGGAAGCCTTTGCATTCATCTCATCTTTATATCTCATGTATACTTAGTTTATGCTCAGGAAAACTATTTATGTCAAACCACCAGCCTTTGGGTTGGGGTTGTCATCTGTCTGCTGTGTTTAATACAGGTTGTATACAAATGTTCTATGTATAGACATTACATAATTTATAATCCAATATTATTGAGCTCTTGTTTTGGCCATTTATGAGGTGACAAGTAATGTTGTTTCTTCTAAGAAGATGACTGTCATTTTTGGTTCTTCAGCCAACGCTTATAATTTCTCTATACTGATAATAATACGCTCATGAAGTCTTTATAATTCTATTTAAATCATTTTCCAATTCAGATGTGAAATTAAATATGGATATTATATACTGATTGTCATACAAGTTCAAAGCTAATAATCATAAACAACAAGATGCCAACACAATGACAAGCTGCTATTAGTAGTTAAAAACCTTTCTTCTCCATATCAAGATAGATTCAGTCTGATAATAGACCATGAGAAATCATAGTCAAGATAACAAGTATATGAAGGCAGATACATTGTAGAAAAGCTGTAGCAGCATCTCAGTAGACATTTAGTTAATACCAAACAGCTTTAGCAGGTCTATTCCAACAACTGAGCAAAATAGAAAAAAACCAGCTTCTTTAGAACTAAATGCTCTAAAGTTATGAGTACTACAGGTCTCTTAAGTCATTCTCTGCTATAGAACAACTACAGCACAGGAGGAAAACACTAACAAGGTGGTGGTGAGTCTGATCTCAATGCAAAGGCAACCAACAAGGGCTAATAGGAACCGTTTAAAAGAGAGATTTACTAGAGAGCATTTCACAGAACAGTCTTGCGCAGTTCACTCGCCCCATGGGCGAAGTGGCATCGATCACCAAATGTGCACGAGCCTTTGGTAAAATTATCACATAGCTTTGTCTTGTAGTTACTGCCCAAAGCATTTGGGGCTCCTGCAGCAGAAGTCTTTGGTGGTAGCGATGTGGCAGAACTAACATTAACGATGAGTTCTCTCACCATGGAACTGGCATGTTTGATTTGATCAAATGTTCCCTCCAGCTCAATGTTCCTCAAGTTGGGGTCTGACTCATGCTCCCTAATTGCCAGCTTAACGCCTGTAATGCGGCAAATCTGCTTGGTGTTCATCCCACCCTTACCGATAATGGCACCTGCAAGAGAAGCATCAACACTAATTTTTGCTGTGGCTGAGGCACCAAAGCTTGTTGCAGCAGCAAGGCCAGTCGGCTGAGGCGGTTCCATGTTGGCTGCAAATCTTCCACCCATTGAGGGTGCCATATGGCCATCATGGGATGGAATAATAGGTTTTCCAAGCTCCCATTCCCCATGTGCAAAATGGCACTTCTCCCCAAATTTGCAACCATCAGCAGTATTATACTTGTTGCACATGCGCGTCTTTACAGCAGAAGAGGGCAGACCATTGGGGATTGTTGAAGGAGGCATAAGATTTCTGGCAGCAGCGACTGTCGGGTTGCCCAAATTGGTCATCTGTGAAACAGCAGCAATGCCTCCAGGTACATAGTGCAGGAAATGACACCCTTCACCAAATGGGCACCCAGCAGTGCTGCATCACGTAAAAGTTTCGATGAAAATATATTCTACTTAGACAGGGACCAATGCTATTTAAGTAAAGAAACAAGAAACAGAAGAGCTGGCGTGTTACATAAAGACAACACACAAGTAAAGATACTAAAACACTATCACAATTCCAGGTAAATCTCATCATTAAAAAATAAACTCAGGCAGTTTAAGGCCAGTTCCAACTTCTGACAGATCATGATTGTTAACAATATACAAAAGTAGATAAGATAATTTCTTGAGATGTTAATCAGAACACCTTTCAAAATACGTACTCATCATTGGCATTTAAAAGGTCATAATGAAATATAAGTATATCACAATCATGAAATATATGGATTACACATGAAATACTTACTATACATGAAAAAAGCAATGTTATACTTACTACACATTACAATCAATGAAGGATGCAAGCATCATTAGAAAACAAAAGCAACAACATTTACAAAATCAACTATGGAGAAGCAGCAGGCAGCTGGGAGCCAAAGATTTCTATTTTATTTTAATTTCATGCCTTTTATTCCTAAATCACAATGACAATTCAAGAGATCTCATCTGGCTATCCATAGCTGATCCCAAAATAAAGGCTATTCTTCAAACTGAAGAAATGGAGACCAACAAAGAACACGTGCATGTCAAAGATAAACAAGAACAACAAAACATCAAAGTTAACAACCCACTTGAGGTCAGTTCGTGGATCCTCTTTTGCCACTGAGCTCTATACAAATCAATATCCTTAGTTAAAAACTAAGGATGGCTGTACTCATTTGACCTAGTATTCTATCTTATTTTTGTTTTAAAAAATCCCAAGTTAAAAACAAAACACGTTTCAAATTTATAAACAAAAAACCTACAGAGAGAACACATGCTTGGAGTCAGGTAAAGAACTACCAAGGTTTTATACAAGCAAGGGTGAAGTAACAACCTATTTGAAGGGGAAATGAAATCAACCTCAATGGATATATTCCTAGATCGGAAATTTATTCCTTCTAACAAATAATCAGAACAATATATTTTCAATACAATACTAACCATAAAGTCTTTGTTTCATCTAAAATCACCTCTCAGTCCTCTTATTTTTTTAATAATTCATGACTCATGGAATGGTGTCACGATTAGTAAATAAATGGCATAGGTTATCCTTAGCATTATCAAATCATCTAGGACAAACAGTGAAAAAGCCCTATGGCATTGACTTCATCTATCACAAAATGGACAGCATAAGCAATAATTCATTTTCATTCCAAACGTACTATTAGATTAATGCTTAATTTAAAAGGGTATATCCAATTAATGAACACAAAACCCATTGTCTACCTCAGCGGTTTATTTCTGATAGCACCACTATTGGATTTCTAAATATTTTCCTTTAGATATTTCTAACTGAAAGCTCATCCCCTACTGAATGGTTTAGGTAATGAAGATTTAGTACAAAAGCATAGACCTTAATAAATAGCCATATATTCTCAAATTTCCTCTTCCTGCACATTTTTATGGTTCTTTGCTATGCAATACACCTAGCTAGTTACCAAGGTTAACAACCAAACAAATAAAAGGGATGAAACTCAGTCAGATGGGCTAAGAAAATATACATTTATTTTAACATCAAATCAAACACAACTTTAAGTGGACAAATACAGTATCAAGCATCTGACATGAGGTCAATCTAAGTACCTGATGCAACATGAACAGTAATATAATTTTCAAGGATGCACATGAAACTATAACTTGTTATAGATTATGATATTCATCTTGGTGTTGTATAAATGCATAATATCAAAAGATGAGTCTAAGTAATATGCAAATACAAAAAAGTCAACCATGTGATGTTCTTAGAGTATCTTTTCCTAAATAGTAATAATGATAATATCCAACTCCAAGTTCAACCCAACGTCTAATAACTACAAAGTGACACTTGGAGTACTTCTACATATATCAGACAGATGTGTGTCCATGGCACCCTCGTGCATCAAGCAATATTCTAGCTACTTGTACATTCAGACAATAAACTGAATGACATTGTTTGTTTACAGGTTTTTTGCAACACTTGTAGATGAGAAACATCTGAGAGTTGAAAGATCATGACTTGATGACGCGGTCAATGCTTGGGCAGCTGGTTCTATTGAATCTTTACTTATTTTTAGCATATGTAAATTGAACATAGATGTAATATTCAAGATCGTAAATTGAGACTAACGTCACGTGACAACGTTGAATAAAATAATACAAAAATAAAAACCAAATATATGTATTGGTATTGTGCTATCAATATTGATGATGGCACTTGGTTGGACTGGTAAATACAGGTTGTTCCATAGCAGAAAAACTGGAGTTTAAAGTTGCCTGCAGGTGGCAGCCATGAACCAGGAGTACAAGCATGTATCACAATTTTCTTGCTAATTATTTTATCATTCGAAATGATTTTCTTACAAACGTCTGTTAACAATAGCAACAATTTTCTTACAAACTTATCTTACCCCACAATTTTCTTACAAAATTATCTTAACAATAACAACGATCTTCTTACAAACTTATCTTACCATTCTTACTTAAAGTGTTCTTACTTAAAGGTACCGGCTTCAACAAATGACCATCTTAAAGTAGGGAAACTTGCGACAATTCAAAACATAAAATTACTTCTGTTGCAAACCAGAAAATTACACAGATACCAAATGAAAATGCAAATGAGATGCTGAACGACAAAGCTTCAAGGAACAGTAACCATTATAAATAGCAAGTATTAGTCCCTGTGATATAACATAAGAGACAAGGTTGTAAGAGACCAGCTTTATTCCTCTGCGCATCTAAAATATGATATGGAACATTCTCACCTTCAAATCTGTAATACCTTGCAAACTTTTAGCTTTGTTATAAGTATAAAAAAAAGCTATTTGAGTATGATACACATTATTGAAACAATTTTAATTGGTTAACTTTTACAATGGAAATCCCTAAAACCTCCCTCCGCCCAGATGGAAGTTTGATATGCATCATATAAATCTGTTATGAAACAGAAGATTAGGCACAACAATGTATTTTAAAGAAACAATTAATAATATCTTCATTACAGTAGGTATTCTTCAAGGTTTCATTGAAGCAGTGAAGTCTTCATGTCTCGTGCACCTCCACAAATACCCTATTTATACTTTTCAATAAGCTTCTTAGGTTGGTTTTACCAGCAGGGCCTGTGCCACAGCTTAGACATCTGATTCATTAGCTTTGATAAAGTTATAATAACCTGTAATGACAGCTAGCATGACCAATTCATTAGCCTTAACAAATTACACAATATGAAATTATCAACCAAATTTGCTGGTTAACTAAGATATAATGATTAAAAAAAGTTCATCTTGAAATTTATCCTGAACAGTTTAGAATTAGAACCTGAAAAACTTGGTGCATGGCTTCGATTTGCTTCCTAGACCAGATGGATTCGAGTCCGTTTCTGTAGCATAACATTAATTATGTGTTCTCAGTTAAAATTTCAGTGATCAGTTATCTTCATGCTTCTGACATATCTGAATTATATTATCAATCACAAATCAGGAATCTTGTAGTTATTAAAAAAGATAATTTTGTGAATATTGATGTAGTGATTTCGGAATTTCAAATGGCTGCATTTGGTAAAAATAGCAACAGAAGCATAGAAATATGGATTGAGAAGTATGTGTGATTGTTGCAGTGTAATCAGATTTATGACTCCAGAAAGCAATGAGAATATACTAGTAACCTGCAGTAGTAATACCAAAATAATTTCTAGTTTATAGTGTGTCTTCAATGATGGTATCCTAACTTGCTTACAATGTGAACAAAAAAGACTCATATGAGCTTCAACAAACGCTCCCACTAGAAGAGCTTCTTTTTAATGTACATGATCAACCAAAACATCTGAACTATCAAATAGGAAGATTTGCTGATCATGAGGATTCAGCATACATAGATCAACTGAGTATCATTCTTACCGTATGACAATGATTCATCAATCTACAATTAAGGCAACAAGCAGATGGAAAACATAGGAACATCTGATAGACATTCCCCAAGTAAAGCTATAGTCTGAAAACAATAGCATCACAGCATATTCGCATTTGGATCCACCTCTACGGTACGAGATTAGCACCACCGAGCAACAAGCAAGCCGACAGAAGGGGGCCCTAGATCACAGTTAGATCCGGACCAACTAGGTGGATCTAGCAAGATTCCTACACGAGCTACGGAGAAAACCTCAACTTGGCGTACCTCTGATCCGCTTCGGACCGGTGGCGCCGCTGCCCCCGTTGGTGGTTCCGTCCGCCCTCGCCCTCTTGCGTGCGTCCATGACGACAGTAACTTCCGTGGACCGAAGGATTGCGGAAGATAAGGGGCTGAATAAAACCCTAGATCGGGAGCGGAGGGGAGGGGAGGGGAGCGCGCGAGAGAGACAGAGGCGCAGCAAAAACCCTAGCTTGCCCGACAAGAGCTGGCAAACAATGAATAAAAAGGAGGTTGGAGGAGATGCAGCAGTGGGTGCGGACGTCAACCGTGTGATTCCAATCTAGTGCGTTGTGGTGGCGACGATCCCGCGAGGCAAAACAACCCAAAGAACCCACCCAGGCTCCCACCCGTGCCTTGAATGGACAGCTGGTGGGGCCCGTGCGACTCTCGATCGGTGTAAAAATTGTGGGTAGCTCAAGACTTTGTTATTTGGTATCTGGCCTGAGCAAATGATCTGTTCGCAATGACTAAACTGCCCCTCTCACGAGCGTCCGCATCATTGAATCCAGCTCGAAGGGGTCGTGTGGCGCGCACGTGACTTCTGATGGACGTGGCTTGGAGGATCTAACCACTGGATTTGATTTGGGATTCAAACAAGTGCGTGTATCTGAATTTTTTATTTTTATTTTTATTTTTTACTATAAAAAATAAATGGTGAAGACAAGTTTTAATTGTAGGATAATTTTTTTAAGACTATTAATACCTTCAAAATTTTTGTTGGTAATCAACCTTTAACCTTCTTTTCCACTCTGCCTTATTGTGGTTAGCTAATTAAGTTAAGCATCATTGATGGTAAAAAAGCTACATGAAATCTTAAAACGGATTCACTGAATCATATGTAGATTTTCTACTTACATGGTAACGTTTTCCCGATTTGCAATCAGAGAAAGAGCCTAAATATAGAACATATCAGTAATATATATTGACTGTAACCAGAAAATAAGAGTGGAAATTTATTAGCCCAATCAGGATATATCATCAATCTGATCAAATGCAGAAGATTCGGATCAGATATTTGCAAAAGAAGACAGTCTGAGAACAAATCTTTTACCCATTTATCTTGCTAATGAGGACAAGTGTTAAGTCCAGAAAAACAAATCAAAGTGGCAAGAAAAATATCTTTGTTATTCTCACCAACCCTATAGAGAAAATAATGTTAAGGTAACTCAAGAAAAAGAAGGTTTGTGTGTTTCTTACTCTCACCAACCAGCCCAAAAGTTGCTGATTTGGTGAGCAGAATCCACTTGATCTGGTCCACCCATCATAGTACAATTAGGACACTTCTGCTCACTGATCACTTCCCTGGGTTTTCTTGTCTCATGGACTGGTAAAAGGCTTATTTGATCATGTATTTTTCCTGTGTTCTACTGAGTTAGATGTTTTCAGCATGTTACAAAGTTAGATGCCATATAATTAATTGTAAGGATAGTTGATATAATATGTATATCTGGTTATACATGTGTGTATATATTGGGCTGAGAAGGAAAGGAGATACTTTCTTCTCTCTTCACTTCTATGCCTTCGTTGGTGGCCTGCAGCAGCATCCTCTGCTCATATGTTGGCTCAGAGGTTTATCTTTCAGTGAAACTTTTCTTCTTCTTGAAGTCTAGTCCTGGTTCTTTCTTTTATGATGCAAGGCTTGACTGATTCATCCAGTGATCAGAATCTGAACCATTAATTCTTGCCCATTTCTTCTTCCTCTTCTTCATCTGAGTTAAAAATCCGATCTTGTTGGGTTGTTTCTCACTTACCAGGTTGGGGCGGATGGGATTTCGGTGGTCGAAGAAGATGCGCTTCTGTTCCTGTAAGGTCAGTTGTGAAAACTGTAAGCTGTGGCAAATCTTCTCGTCCTCAGACGTCTTTCTTGCTTCTGTTTTGGGATTTGATATCGTAAAGATCGTTTCTTTTCTTGGGGTTTCTTCAAATTATTGAGATCTCGATTCAGCCCGAGTGTCTCTGCGTTTCCCCCAAAATTACAGATCATGCACTCTATGCAATATTGAGGACCGACCCGAGTGATTCTCGTGGGCTCTCTTGAAGGTCGAGTGTTCTTCAAAAGGATAATCTTTGGTCGTTCTTTGATCAAGAAAACAACTTCTTTTTTAGGAGACGGAGATCCTTTCTGTTCCTTTCTTTTTTTGGAGGTGTGCTGCCGGCAACATCTAAACCCTCATTGTTAGCTTTTCTTGGATCTAATCATTCATGCAATCTTGTCGTCTTGAAAGATCTTTCTCGGCTAATATGTAGTCTTTCCAGAAAAAACATTTGTTGTTTCGAGAAGTTGCATGCTCAATATTTGTGTCTTGCTGCGCAATCTTGAGCACATTCCAAGATCATTTTGGTAAACAAAATACCTTCAGCTCACTTGTCTTTCCAATATTATTTTAGCTTAGTATACAAGGTTCTCGATTAGTGTAGTACCTAATAATGAATCATTCCTGTTACTCACCTTTATGCCGAATCATTTAGCAGTTTATGGTATTGGATTTCTTCGTCTAATTTATGTATTTAGCCCTTCAAAGTTTAAGCCTTTTAGAGCATTGTATTGTAGATATGAAGTCAATTATGAAATTGCAGCATTTGGAACTAATTATTCTCAATAATGTTTCCTATATTTGCCAGTGTATGTGAGTGTTCAAGTTGTTTCGGTTGCTTATTTGTGGGTTAATGGGAAGAGGCAGAGGAAAGGGGAAGAAATTGACAGCAGTTGCAAGTCATGAGGATCTGGATAATGATGGTGAAGAACCCCTTCCTGCATATAAAAGAAGGGGAAGGCTGCAGAAAACCCTGAAGGATAACATAGATGAAGATGATACTGAAAAGAATGAAGAAGGGACAGATGATACGAAGGTTACAGTGACAAGCAAAGAGCTCAATGGTTCGATGGGGCAAAAAGGGAAGAAGAGGAAGAGGTACTCTCAAGTAAAAGAAAATCCTGATTTAGTTTCAGAGGAGAATGGCGATGAACTGAAACCAAAAACTGAAGAGTTAACCAGGTCCAATGGTTTTCGACACAATGGAAGCCGGCGGAAGAGCAAGCCTCGACGGGCTGCTGAGGCATAAATCATGTTCAAACCGACATTTTAATTTGCTATCTCGCTACCATTACAAAACCAGACATGGTGAACACCTCAAGTCCTTATCAGTTCACCTTTTTTTTTTCAGTCGCTTTGTTTCTCCTCTCCTTTGTTTTTCACAAGTGAACCATATAGGAAGCTAGGGACTAGATCATACTGCTTCCTGATCTTTGTGGATGTCCAAACGGTGTAAAAAATATCCTTTAACTTTCATTTTCATTTCAATGCAGAGCTTTGAGCACATCATTATCTTATCTGTTTCTCAATAACATTTTATTACTGATATTTCATGCGACATCCAAATAATTCTTCTTTATAAATTTTGTTATCTTGATTTCTTTGAGTTGCAGTTATTTGTGATTCTTATTTGTTAAAATATCGTAAGAAGAAAATTTAGCTGGGTGCATTTTTCAGTTTTGTTTCTGTTACTATATTTATCATATTGCTCAATATTTTGAGTTTATCAATTATTTATTTTGTGTCAAGAGACTTTTGTTTATATATTTGTGCCTTTGAACAATCATTGCGATTGAAACTTGAAGTTCTTGAGAGATTGGTTCCATTTGTTTCTTCTTCCATTTTCTTTGGTTGTGAGTTTGTATGCAATTGGGTGAATCATGGAAGAAAACTAACGGCAATATGTGTTACAAATATTTGATGGTATTCAAAATTTCCAGCTTCACAGGTGGCAACCATCATTAATTGTTTGAATTTGGCAATCATTTGTTGCATTTTATATACACTACTTTTGTTTATTGGTTTTCATATCGAATTTTCTTCCTCTCCATGATTCATGGCAGTACGTGTTACAATCTTTGGTGCTAATAATTTCATTCCAGCTTCGCAGATGGTGACCCTCTCTAATTGTTTTAATTTGGCAATCATTTGTTGCATTTGATGTTCATGGTACATTTGAATTTGAAATTAGCGATTTGAACAAGTACTTTGATTGCTTCGAATTAACTAAATCATATTATCTGTTTCATTACCATATGGTGTGTGCTTTTCCCATTTAACTTGTGTCATGCTTGCCTATATCATGTGCTTTTTGGCATCTCTCTAACTTGCTTCTGAGTCTGTTCAACGGATGTTCATCATAAATACTCGTCGCCACTGCTTTGAGCTTTTCGGATGCACAGAAGTCGCTAACCTTCTTCTTAGTTCATTTTTCCATGTATGTAAGTCAGTAGGACTGTTTAAGTTTCCGACGTCATCTAGAAATGTATTTTCTTCTTCTCGACTTTGATTACGACAGCTTATTTGTGAGGCTTGTTCGCTAGGTTCAGTGGTAATACCTGTTGTGTGAGAAGAATCTGTCTTTCTTAAATCTTAATCACGCATTTGCTCGAATTTTTAGTTAAATACCTTGTAATGAGTTAATATATTGCGTCTATCGTATTTGCTCTTTAGATTCTGTCTTGTTGATTGGGAATTATGCTGCTGACACTTCAACTGCGTATGGATTTATTAATAATTTAGTGTCGAATGACTTTTTGAGATAGAATGACATAACATCATCTGGACTTTATCTGAATTTGGATTTAGGAGTCTATGAGGTGGCTTTTCGGTTTATTTGTCATAAAAGAATAAGAAGTTAATTTTCCATGCCATGCTTGATGAGAAATGACAAAAGAACTGCCAATTATCTTCTCAGTGCTTATCGACAAACAATTATATAGAAATTAGCTGAAGTGCCATTGATGATAAGACTACTGACAATTTAGTATTTCATCTCATGGTATAAATTTCTATGGGATCACAGAGTATAATTTGCTTAGAAGTTTTTATCCGGCACGCAATATATTTGCATTAGCGAAGACCATGTTTTGAAACTTGTTTCTTTGATTTACATTCCCTCGTACCGAAAAATGGATGTTGGAATTTAGTTTTCATGAACACTATTAAAGTCCTTTCCATGACATCCATTGTGTTGATTCCAAGCCTTCCTCTGAATGCATTAGCAAACTGTGTTAATGTGGATAACTTAAATTGTGGCCAGACATTACATATCTATTTTCCTCCAGAATCTGTAATCTCAGGCCTTACACATCTTCAACAAGTGACAGACTCGATATGTGTAGGAATTGTTCTTCTCAACACTTTACTAGTGAGTTGGATTTGAGATGTTTCATACCGAAAAATCTGAGTAGACTTGAGCTACTTATGATTTCTTTTTTAGATAGGTTTGTTGTCAAGATAATTCACTGCAGGAATGTTGAAGTGTCTCACAGTAAAAACACTTATTCAAACATATTACATGCATACAAGCATCTGCATTTGAATTGTTCTTTATGCAGCTGTGTTTGTGTGTGCTCTGCTTATGTCAGATAATGACTGCAAACCTGCTTGTAATACTGAGTTAGGAAATCCTGCAAGCAGTGGGCTTTTCAACCCTACTGCATATTGCTGTGGATGCTTCCTGAAATTAAGATGTTTAGCATGGCAGTTAGCTGCTTTTGGTGGTACAGATGGGAGTGATGGGAACCCAAGAGAAGGAAGGAGAAGTTGAGCTGTTGTCTGCAATGCCGCGTTTTCTTGGCCACTGCCAGCTCCAGTGGGGGTCGAAGTGTCGCGGGAGACATGGTGGAGAGGAAGGTGTCAATGGCGGTCCACGGGCGGCACTGCGTCACATATCGGAGGGGGACCAACTGGAGCTGAATCCAGGCGGAAGGAGAGATGAGGTCAGATGCATGCGGTGTTGGGATGGGGGATGAAGTTTCTTGGGATTTATCATTGCCACCGCGAATTCAAAGGTCTGTGCTCCAGCCACAGGGTGTTAGGAGACGGTGATCTTTGCAGTGGTCTCTCTTCTGCTAAGCGTTTCCTTCGCCATTGATGTGCTCTGCGGTCCTTTCTGCGCTGCTGCTCGAGTGCGTCCTGCTCTCGATTGAGTTCTTTGACTTGTGCGCATGAAGCATTTGACGTCCTCATGATATCGATGAGATAATTGATCTATTAACTTCAGAAGCTCAAGTGTTAACACTAGTATCAGCTTCTCCGTCGAGGCATTGAGGAGGAAGAAGAGAAGCTTTTGGTGGTGGTGGAGGCCTAGCGGCAGTCTGGTAACGGTGGTCGGGGAGACATTAACAGGTGAAAGGATAGGATAGCAACAGGTGTTGGGGGTGGGACAATAAGAGGACCAACTTACCAATGGGAGGCATAGCAGGTGACGAAGGAGAGGCCAATAACAGGTGATGTGATGGAGATGGGACGACCGGAGAAGTTAATGGTCGAAGGAGGAGGAAGAAGATGTATGTGCCGTTGGTTTAGAAGCATTTGGAGACCAAAAAGAATAGCTGACGTTAAGAGGGCAAAACGATTTCCCTACAAAATATCTATTTTTATTATTTCTTTTGGTTTTTTTATTTTTAATTAGTATCTCTTAATTCAAAAATAACTCAGATTGTCTCTAAAAAAATTGACTGTATTATTTTAGTTGTTTTGACTTATTATAATATTTTTAATATATTATTATATTTTAGTCATCATAATAAAAATACTATAAAAATATCATAAATGATGTATATTGACTAATAACATCAATCAACTCAACTTCAATAGGTATAATATTTTTACTTTTTAATAGCTTTATAGTATCTCAATAAAAATATTATTAAAATATATTGAAACCACACATTAGAAACCATTTGATATATCATATTAGGATTCAAATGAATATTTGATAATGGTTAAGAATAACATCATTCAAATAAGAATAAAAATTAATTTATTATAATATTTTGACCATCAATATAAAAATACTGTAAAACCTATTTAAAAATATTATAAATGACTTAAATTGACTCCTATTCTCAATAAACCTAACCACAAACATAAAGATATAAGTTCATAATGATCTTCAAGACATAATATAATATTATTTATAATATTTTTTTAATAGTTTTATAGTATTTTTAGTGTCTCAATTAAAAAAATATTATAAATGAATTAGATAAAAATATTGTAATAGTTCAAAATTGAAAAAAAATAATAATAATAAAAAAATTTGATGAGAAAAAGTACTATTTAGAGAACTCTTTTGAGAAAAGCTTATACTAAAAATTTATTTTTTATTACTCAAAATCACTTACTATTGATAAACCTTTTTAAAAATTATTTTATTATTTTATAATTTTTATATTATCTATTTTATCTTTTTTTCTTGAGAAAAAAACAATTTAAAAAAAATTAAAAAGAAAAATAAAAAAAAATTGTAAATATTTATCCCCTTATCACTTTGATGAATTGAAAAGGAGGTCTAAAAATGGCTCGAATTCGTTTTTTTTTTTTTTGGGACAATAAAGATATTATAAACTGAAGAAATCTTCCAAGTGAAAAGAAAAATGCTTCATCTCTACCTAAAATGAAGGAACCAAAGGTACCATCAAAATCTATCACCCTGAAATGTGTTCATGACAGTGTATCCAACTTACAGTAGTCTAAATGGCAGGTGTCAGCTTTATGCCATGCAGAAAGACTCATTCACCCTCCTTCTCGTCACCCCTCTCACTCTCTCTCTCTCTAAGGAAGCCGAGCTTCCCCTGACTGTTCCTCCCTCTCTCTGGTCTCGGAGTCCACGGTTGGGCTGTAGAGCTGTACAGCGAGCTGCAGCAAGCAAATGGAGATGAGTTCAAGCTCTGTTGGGGGTTCTGCAGCCCGCGGCTCCAATGACTCCCTCCATGGCCTTACGTTCGGCAAGAAGATTTATTTTGAGGATGGGGTTGGTGGTGGAGGTGGAGGTGGCAGCAGCAAGGCACCGCCGGCTCCGCCAACGGCGGCCCCGAAGAAGGGGAAGACAGTGCTCCAAAGAGGGCAGCAGCAGCCACCGCCCAGGTGCCAAGTGGAGGGGTGCGAAGCGGATCTGACTAAGGTCAAGGCCTACTACTGTAGACACAAGGTCTGTGGAATGCACTCCAAATCCCCCAGGGTGATGGTTGGGGGCATGGAGCAGAGGTTCTGTCAGCAGTGCAGCAGGTTTGCTCTGCTCCCTGGTTGTTCTTTGTGCTTCTGTGGCTTTTGCTTCTCTTGGAGGCTGGCAAAAACTCCTTGATCTTTCAGTGTCTTCCTCTCTAAATCTGGTTCCGATGATGCAAGTGTGTGTCGGGTGTTTTGGAGTGTTGTAATCATTTGTAGCCTCATGCTCCCAGATCTCATCCAGAAAAGAAGGATGCTCTGATGAGATGGTACAATTGAGTTTCCTTTTCAGATTTCTCATGTATCAAATGAGCCTTTTGGTTTCTTTTCTTTTGTCTAAGAAATGAATCTGCCATTGTTCAGATGTTCTTGGTTTCTTGGAAATGCCTGATTTCTTTTAGAGTCAGTTTTATATTATTTGTTTGGTCTGGTCTATGCACTTGACAGTATCTTTTGATTGATGAGTAGGCACAGTCACTGTTTGGCATGTTAGATTCCTATTAGCACTGAGACTGCTCCTTTTTTACTCTGTTATTGGGTGTTGATGAGTCAGTGTTCTACTACAGGAAGCATTTCTATTTTTTAATGCTAGCTAAACTCGTTACTACTGGCAACTTAGTGTTGTTAGTTATGGTTTTTCTTTGTTTGTTTTATACTGATCTAAGAACTTATAAGATTTGAGCTTCTAAATCCTTTTGGAAGAGATTTGTATTTGTGCTTTGACTTGTGGACACTATTATCTTTATGCTTGGACTTTTCCATGTGTCTTATATGCTCATTCATTGTCAGACATTTGTTAGGACAAGTTGATTCTATTCAGTAAATTCTCTCACTCTTTCATGATTATTTCATTCATATGAAGCTAACCTTGTGCAGCTTGGTTGGTCGATTTCTGCTTAAGATAATTCACTGCAATTTAGGAACTATAGCATTAAATTATGGAATGGTTCTGAAGTTGTTCTTGACACTTGTTTGGTGTATTTGCAAACTATCCTAGAAGTAGTTAAAATTTAGAAATTGGGATTTCTTTGGTTTTTGTCGACTATATTATGTTCTGTAAATATTATAATTGACTCATTAACCGGTTCTCTTTTTTTATTGACCTATTTTGCAAAAAGTTATGTTTACATTTTTTACTTAATTAATAGAGCAGTGGTCTAATCTTAAGCGAGAAAAATGCTAGGATGAGCTTGCGAGCTAATTCTTGGTTACAACATGATTGAAAAGGATAAGATCTCTTCTTAATCTTTCATCCTCTGAAGAACATAATCAAGGAGCAATGTTGTGAGCTATTTCCCCAGAAATATACTAGTATTCCTTGCACTGGCTGCATTTACTCTAACAGAGTATATTAGAAGGTTTTGTTAATGTATGGCATCTGCTGATCTTGAAATCTAGGGTTTTTCTTGTGTTTGAGATCTCTTGTAACTTAATGTGGATCATGATCTAATTAGAATCTCATTATTTCATCACTATTGAATTTTCCTTGAAACTGCTCGAATACTTCTTAACATCACTACAAGGTATAATATCATCAATGTGACAGTAAACGGGGCATATTGCTCACGTAGTAATGGCAGTAAACTAGCATTATGGATAATCCAATAAGAGTCCGATGATCAACAAACACGATGCCATCTTACTAGGCAATAACATGTAGTAAGCTACATAGGAGGAGGTTGTCAAAGAAGAAATCTTCTATGCCCTCTTATGTTCGTTTAAGTCATCTTAAAGAGTTGTTTCTTGCTTTTTTATTCTCTTTATCTTCATTGTTTCGCGTGTTGAACGATAGTATCTATGTGAATTGCTTGTATGTGTCGATTCATCATGTATCGACTCAAGAGGATTTTTATTAGGGGCTTAGTCTGAAATTGATGTTGTAAAGTAGCATTACTATGACACCGCCTGGCACAGTGGTATATGGACACTTTGATGTAAACACTCATACGGTAAACTAATATTGTTGCTGTATGAGTGTATGATGTCCGATGTTTCTGATCAACATTACGGTGTGATGTCTTCTTTTACAGAATCACTCAAATATAAGAGCAATGTTCATTATTTAATTCTTATGGTTACATAATCACAGGTTTCACCAGTTAGCTGAATTTGACCAAGGGAAACGCAGTTGTCGTAGACGTCTGGCTGGGCATAATGAGCGTCGAAGGAAGCTGCCTCCTGGTTCTTTCGCATCACGCCACGGCCTATCCTTCCATGGTCAGAAACATCTAACCGATATTTCACATTGCATTTATGCAATTGAATTTTAGTTCTCTGAATGGTTTTTTGCAATTAAACAGGACCTAGTAGATTCAGAAACTTTGTAATGGACTTCAGCTGCCCAAAAATTTCCAGTACTGCAAGAAATGTTTGGCCGACTGCTAGGCCCGGCAATCAGGTGGCTAGTAACCAATGGCATGGGTTCGTAGATTCTTCGTCGGATGCAGCTGCAGCTGCAGCGTGCAGTGCTCATCGATACTTGCAGGGTTCTCCAGGCCAGATTCTCTACTCTTCCCCAGAACCTTCGCTGGGCGAGTGTCTCGGAGGAGCCTCGGATGCTAGCTGTGCTCTCTCTCTTCTGTCATCTGAGCCATGGGGCAGCCGCACTACCAGAAGTAAAGTTCCACCAACTGTTTCGGCCAGCAGCGGCTTTAACTCCGCCTCCTCGGCTCACTCGATCGTCTCCGCTAATCACACGGCCGAGTCATGGGGACTCAGAGATCATGGAAGCAGGAACAGCTCGCAGGAACTCCGGCATGAGGCAGGAACAGCAAGGGTCAATTTGGCCGGTGGTGCACTTTTTTCCGGCCAGCTGGAGTTGGCTCTGCAGGGGAACGGGCAGTGCCTTGGCCATGGCTCGGGCAGGGAATACGATCACTCAGACCATGTGATCCACTGGTCTCTCTAGCCTCTGTGATCTCTCTTCTCCAAGAATTTTGAGTTCAATGTGTTGAAACATCAGCATCAGGCATCACATGGAGTTTCTGCATTTCAAGTTTGTTTCCTCGAAGATGTTGATCACATGCTATCTATTTTCTGTAGCTTTGGTGCTTCTCTTCATGTAAGAGACTTGCTGTTTTGGTTTGCTTGAAGATTCATCATCCCTTCATCTCTTCTGTTCAACCAGAGAACTACAAATGGTGGTGGTGTTCATTTTGTTTAACCAGATAAGAATAATTTTGATTCATAAGATCACATCCAAGAATCCTGCATGTGATGTGGGGTATGGAGGTGATGTTCATCCATGTCGTGACGTAGAACAGTTGTATCTATAATGTCATAAACAATGAAAAGGGCATCCCATGTATTTGAGCTAGTCGGCGAGATGCTCGACCCAACCACAGCCTTTCTCCAAAGCCATGATTGAGAACCCAACTCAATCCTCTCTCTCTCTCTCCAGAGTCAAAGTGGGTCGGTGTGCCATCAATTGCACCAATGGTGGTCCAAGTCTTATATCAAACACGACGAAGGTGAAGCCATCGTCGTCTAGCTATTCTTTCTCTTCTAGCAGAGCAACACCAGGATGGAGCTTGGAAAAGGTGGTCTTCTCTTCTTCGTCTTCCTCCTTGGTTCGTCTTCGCCATGCGCGACCTCCGCGGAGCTCGGGCGGAGCGGCTTTCCGCGGGGGTTCGTCTTCGGGACTGCCTCCTCGGCTTATCAGGTTGAGATCATCTTTTGCGAGTGTCGGGAAGAGGTTTTCGTATGCTTTCATCAGGTTTCTTAGTAGCATGGTATACATGGCAGTATGAAGGTGCCTCTAGAGAAGGTGATAAAGGGCCAAGTATATGGGACAACTTCACCCACATGCATCCAGGTCTCTCTCTCTCTCTCTCTCTCTCTCTCTCTCTCTCTCTAGAAGAGAGAGAAATAAGTTTCATATATAATCTTAGAGCATTATTAGCAGAACAACATGAAGTACGACTCCCTCTCTCTAGTCAACTCTGTAGAAACTCTTTTAACTCCAAGAAGAAAAGAATGAAGATAATGATGCATTGATCATGTTGGATTCATATGGGAATGCTAATTTGATATGTTGGGGAGAGACAAATACCCCATAATTTATTGTCCAGTTTAGGGGAGAACATGCATTCAATCTCTTTGATGCAAGTGATATATGATTGGCTTACAAACTGCAGCGGTGAACTAACACTGTAGACAATGAAACTGTGTCATCTTCGAACCTATTCCAATGACGACAAAGTCAAGTGACCTCTATTCTGACCGACCACATCATTTCTCTGTCCCCAAAAGGCACTGTAAGTGCGAACAAAAGCACTGGACATAACCAAAAGTCAGAGAATAGTGCAGGCAAAGTAATTGATAGTCAAGTTGAAACTTTCATGCACTTATTCCCTACTCCACACGTAGTTACAAAGCAAAATATGCATGTCATGCTTCAGATTTGATGCTCACAAACATGTAGTTGTTTCTGCTCAGAGAAAATAGCCGACCGGAGCAATGGAGATGTTGCAGTCGACTCTTATCATCGGTACAAGGTGTGTATTCCCAAGCTTCATGCTCACAGTTCAACCATAATTTGGATTTCTTGTTTGTGATGGTTGGCCCTATACATGCTGTCGCAGGAAGATGTAGCGATCATGAAGGACATGGGTTTGGATGCTTACAGATTCTCTATATCCTGGCCAAGGATTTTGCCCAGTGAGTAACAAGCTCAGCTTACTTGAAATCATTGTAACTTTCAGGGTGGGTTGTACATTGATCTAGTGAAATAAAGTCGTGGAAGAGGATAGGATCAGGAGACTATGCTCCACCAGTCACCAACTTGCAGAACTTTATGAGGGTGGTGGATCATCTAAGTGGACAACATCAATAGTCTTCGTCATGTTCAGAAATAGACTCCAACTATTTCTTCTTTGCTGTCACTATTCAACTATATATGGTAGGGCTCCTTTTATTTTGATTCATCTGTGCTCATTTTTGCTGTGTTTTCTGTTCCATTCTAATGGCAGATGGAAGATTAAGCGGTGGAGTGAACCGAGAAGGCATCAAGTACTACAACAGCCTCATCGATGAGCTCATCGCCAAAGGTCCTCGTTCTATCGTTCACTTCGACCGCTAGATCTATTGCCAGCTTATTCTGTACTTGCAACTCGTGCAGGTCTGCAGCCATTTGTGACTTTGTTCCACTGGGACTCTCCCCAGGCCTTGGAAGACCGATACGGAGGTTTCCTGAGCTACCATGTGGTGTAAGTATCTTGTGTACGAAGTGGAACGCAACGCAGCTCATGTCTCCTTTCACTTGTCTGAGGAACTCGGACGAGTCTTGCAGGGGCGACTTCCGGGACTACGCGGAGATCTGCTTTCGGGAGTTCGGCGATCGGGTGAAGCATTGGATAACCTTCAACGAGCCATGGAGCTACAGCGCCGGGGGGTACGCCATGGGGATTCTGGCTCCGGGCCGGTGCTCGCGGTGGGAGGAACCCGGTTGTGGCGCCGGCAACTCCGGCAGGGAGCCTTATGTTGTGGCTCATCATCAACTGTTAGCTCATGCAGCAGCTGTAGCAGTGTACAGAAGAAAGTACCAGGTGAGAAGCCGAAGCTTTGGACACAATGATAGCTTGGAAGCTCATGTAGCTCTTCAGATGGACAGATACAATATGTAGATATGAACTCTTTGCATGCAGTCATTTCAGAAAGGGAAAATAGGCATAACGCTAGTCTCCAATTGGATGGTTCCATACTCTAATTCAAAGTCCAACACGGACGCAGTGGAGAGAGCTTTGGATTTCATGTATGGATGGTGAGGCTCGACCAACTTCAAAGCACCGATAAGTCGGAAGAAATCTATTAGTTGATCTCTCTTCTCCTTCAACAGGTTCATGGATGCTTTAACAAAAGGTGATTACCCATTCAACATGAGAGCACTCGTCAAGGATCGATTACCTAAGTTTACCAGGAAGCAATCGAGATTGGTCAAGGGATCCTTCGATTTCATCGGACTCAATTACTACACGGCAAGATATGTTCATGATCTTCCGAGGTCTAACAGAGTTCACAAAAGCTACAGCACTGATTCACGCACCAATGCGACAGGTAAACTGCCTGCTTGTGCTTGCATGACAGCAGCGTTAAACAACAGTCATTTCGATGCTTTGATTACTGAAGCTAAATTCTAATGGAACAGTGACCCGAAATGGAATACCGATCGGACCAAGGGTAAATACTTCCTTCCTGCGTCCATCAAATCAATCATGCATGCTGCTAGTTTGATTTGTCTTTGAATGCAAATATAAGTTCTTAGAGATGGATCACAGGCAGCATCATCTTGGCTTTACATCTATCCAAGAGGCATAAGGGATCTCCTGCTCTACACAAAGACTAAATACGACAACCCTGTAATCTTCATTACGGAAAACGGTGAGACGCCCTTCTACTTCTTGAAACCTTTATTCAAGCGTTACTCAGAGTTCTTCCGAATACCAGGAGTCAGTGAGCTTGACAAGACTACATCGTCACTTGAAGAAGCCCTCGAGGACAAGATGAGGATAGATTACCACCGGAAACATCTGTCTTTTGTGCAGGAAGCTATCAGGTACGTTCACGAAAGCTTATACATCGATCATATGGATTGAATTTTCCTCAAAAGGGTATGCTGTCTCTGTGGTTGACAGGGAAGGAGTTGATGTGAGAGGATACTTCGCATGGTCACTGTTGGATAACTTCGAGTGGTTCGCTGGATACACCGTTCGATTTGGGATCAACTACGTCGACTACAAAGATGATCTGAAGAGATACCCCAAGAGTTCCTCTCTCTGGTTTCGGAAGTTCCTCAGAAGTTAGACTTGGTTGTGGTGAAGAACAGTCCGCTGAATCTTACTGCTTCTCTGCCTTTTGAAGAGAATCGAAAGCCCATGCATTCAATAATTATAATCCACAACTTTTTTTTGCCGAGGGGGAGAATTTGCATGTAATAGGAATTCTCCAAACAATAAGCTTCATTTATAATCTGCTATGAAGTATAAGCTTCAATTAATTGGTCATCGTAAGACTTCGAGTACATTCGGAGTGACCAAAACACCCTCCATTTTGGACACCCCAAATGTTCGCTGCCAGTTATAATTCCGTGTGTAATGTAGGGCTATTTTCGTCAAAACGGAAGTGATAGAATGCTGCTATTTATTTGCAACCCCTTGTTTCCTACCCTGCGGGATACATATGGGGTCCACGTTTCCAGAACCAACCACTGGCAGGTATATGAGTGGGGAGAAACTCTGCCGACGACTAAATCCTGCGGCGGCCTCGCCTACGCTCACGTGCCGGACGTGACAAGACAGGGGGAATCGGGAAACGGTTGTTTACCCTGGATCTCAGAGAGAGGGATCAGTATGTGAGGAAGAAGGCAATCGTAACACCGGCCTGCTGCTTTCTTCTCGTCTAAATGGCCACCAACGAATTGGCTTTCGGCCTCGTCCTGTCAATGCTGTTCCTCTCATCGTCTCTTCTCGCCATCGCTTTCTCGCTCCAGTACGCGCATCCCCTCCTCGTCTTTCACTAAATGCTGTCCTTCTCAGTCTCTTGTCTGGCGTGCTGGCCTTTCTTTCATGGTAGGTCATGAAGCCCAAGAATACATCAGTGACGCACGAAAAGTTCTCAATGGGAGGCAATTTGCATGCAGGTGATACAAGGGAAGGAGCGGGTGGTGGATGGAGTAGCAATGCAACAGGTTGGGGATCGCCTGTCAACCCAACCGGCCCGGCCCCATTCATCACCACCAGTCTCCCGTTCGCCATTGCCATTGACCCCTTGTTCATCCATGATCCTTGTGATGGGTGGCCAAAGCTTCCTCCTTTTTGTTCTTCGCTTTTTCTTCTTCTGTAGTTGGACGGTGGAAATTGCGGTGATATGTTGAAGAAGATCTACTCGTCAGTTTTGGTAGATTACATGGTTGATATTTTATGAGGTTTTAGATCTTTTAGGGGGAGTTTAAGGGTTACGCTGCAATCCTGGATATGGTTAGGAACAGTTTGGAAAGAAGAGTTGGGCTTTTGGATACTGTGAGCTTTAATCAGATACAATTTGATTGGTTCTTAATTTAATTTGTTCTAGTAAAGCAAATTCTCTTTGATTTGGACATTGCCCATGCGATCCGTTTGTCCATTTGTGGAATCATATTCACCTAACAGTAGATTACAGTGGGAGAAAATGCTTAAAATGCTTTATTACTTCATCATCATCATCATCAGCATCGACTGCTCTGTTTACTGGTTTTGTCTCACAAAGGAGACACCCTCTCATTCAGGAAGAATGATTTCCCATGTTTAAGGCCATCCATGTTGGCAACATAAGCTGTGAAGAAAACAGGATTGTTTTGAATGCAATATGCATCCATATAGATGATCAATTTTTGGTGCTGTCCAATGATACTGAGCAAAAGGATGCACATAAATCTGATGAGGAAATTTTTCATCTTATTGCTCATTATTCTTGTTAATTGAATTGCCAGGACTCACTTCAGTCTTTTAACAGATATCTGAAATGGATTTATGTTCTCTGATTACTAGTTCTCTTCATCTGTTGCAAGTGATTTTTGATCTTGTTTCCATTCTCCAAGCCTTGCATCTGCATCTTTTACTGTTCAGACTCAATAGTTCTACATGCTTAGTCCACAGCAGATGCAGTAGAATCAATGTTCTAAAGTCTGTGATACATGCAGAGACAGATGTGTTCCCTTTTCAAGTCTGACCACAGCTTCTCTTCAATGCAGTATATACATATGCATGTTTCAAGTTCATCCAATTCCTGCTAATAATTGAAGTTGGTCAGAAAGTGACACCTGCTTGTAGAATTGTTGCTGACAGCTCCCAGAGCTCAGATTGTCCTTCAGATCAGCTCAGATTGTTCTTCTTCTTCTTCTTCTTCTTCTCATGCTGATGCTGCTGTTACTGATTGAATCGAGTTTCTGAGCACCTCAAAAATAGTTGATGCTGGCGTGGATGCCACGAGCGGTTGGGTCGGCAGTGAGCACTCAGGAAGCTTCTTCAGTCCATGGCAGCACCTTCAGGCTGGGAATCATGGAACTTTTTCGAATACCTTGTGCAGGTTTCATCTGTGTTCATCCATTTTACCAAGTTATCACATATAGGCTGTACACCATTCTTCGGATTCTACTTTGGTGATCTGGTCCCAGTCCACCACCACCCATGAATTCTATCTGTATTGGAAGAGAAGTACCACCACTATGAACTCCATTCTGCCAAAGTGCCCTCCTGCTTCCTTCTTCGCTCTCCACCTCATAAAGCATTCTTCGATTAGCAGCTTGGAATCTGATTTAATCGGTAAAGACAAGCCCAATGCCACTATTTATGGGTCTCTTCTCTTTAACTCCATCTGCCAATTCATCAGCCACTTTGGTAAATGGCAGATACCGCTCCACTGACTCTATCTATCCTCTTCCATCTTCCTGTGTTGATGTTTTCCGAGTCAAAGTTAGGTGGAGGTTTCCTGGTTTCAATTGATCTGCAATGCAATCTTTCAAGAGATTGTTTCATGTCTTTTCTCTTTGGTATGAGCTCATGCAGTGGATGTGAATGAAAGATACTGGCTTGGATTAAAAGCTATCAAGTGTTTGGTGTGGAGGACCAGAATGAGCTACAAAGTACAGATAACAGCTCTTCCCCACCACAACACAAACATGACTTTCATGCTACCTGCCTCTCCGTTCGCCCTCCTCCCTCCTCCTCTACAGAGATGATGCTGCAACGGAGCCTTATCTTCTCTACCACATTGTGCTATTGGCTACAGCTTCCCAATATCCTACTCCAAGATCGTGTCGTCGGATCCTTCCCATCCCTAAAGCGATGTGACATGAATCCGGACTCCATCATCGCTCACATGGCTACAGTAAAAGAATTCTTCTGGTTCAGGTTCTATGTTGCGTCGAATGATTTCTTTGTTCTTTTTTGTCTGCATACGTAATCGATTGTTTAAGCTACTGAGCTTTTCGATTCACAGCCACTTGGCCCTCAATCCCACGAAGAACAGGGAAGAGCAGGCCGCCATTTCTCTTTGAAGCAAGATTCTATGGTCGGATGCACTGAATCAGGCAAACCAAGGCATGACACAAGTACAACATCCAAACAGGCAAGTTTTGACAATGGATTCAAGCTTAGATTGCTAATCATGGCAAGAAAAACATGGGTGCCCCACCCAGATCAGCTACCTGAGACATGCTTTCATAAGCCAAATGGCCATTTATGGCAAGGTCTTCCCCCGTTGGTCATCAACCCAGCAACACACTCCACCTTTTTTGCGTGCCAGTGTGTGTGTGTGGCCAAGTGGTTGACGAAATGACTAGTATATGGAACGAAACGCAAACACTCGAGACACTGTAAGCATATAGCTGTCGTTGATGCGTTTCCTTCGCCTTCCCTGCTTCGATCAGTATAGCTTGTGAGTGCTGGCCGAACAGCTGCAGCTCGCCCGGCTTTCCGACAATGCCTTCAAATGGCGAGAAGAAGATCTAATGTCAAGTTGCACACGAACAGAATGTTTCTGCAGGAGAGTTTAATTAATACCTTTACTTGTTTCTGGAGATTCTTGATGTAATCCAGCGCCAAATCCAGCATGTCGGCTGTATTGGTTTGCTGTCGATGTTCCAGCACGAGTTAGAGGATTGATCGAATTACTGTTCTATTGGAAATGGTTCGTGTTGCTACCTTATCCATGTTAGGGACCAGTTCTTGGAGCTTCTTCATCCTCTCGCTGATCCGAGTCCTCCTCACCTGATCAAGACTGTGCGGTATTACATCGACCGCAGCTTACAGATGAAGAACAAGAAACGGAATCAAGAGAAGAGATACCCTCTCGGCGATGCTTCGCGGGTGGGTGGCGCAACCCCGTTTAGCTCTGATCTTGAAGGGGACTGCATCGTGGATCTGCAGGAACTTCTCGATGGCGGTCATGACCGGCGAGGACTTGGGCAAGCTAAGCTGATGGGGGACGCCTGAGGCGTGGTTTCTCCCCTCACCATTCTGAGGCATGGTTTGTCCGTTCAGAGAAGTGCTTGTTGACAGAATGGAGTAGGACAAGGAGGGAGTGGTGAGTTACCTGAGGTTCCAGTGAGATGAGACCTGCAGTCATCTTTTCCTCGCCCTCTCTGCCTCTTTCCAGGCCCGAGAAGCTGTTGTTGAACAGAGAGGACTCGTCCCAAGAGGCGACCGAGAATGCCGAAATGAAACTCCGGCCATCGCCGCTGCGCTCTCTGGGGCTGCTCCCCTCCATGGCCTCCTCACTCTCCATCTCGGAGATATGCGACAAGACAGAGTTTTGCCTCGATGGGAAGCTTAGTTGGCCCTTCGATCTGTGTGTTCCATCCATCATGAAGCCACTTCCATCTCTGAAACCACCCATCCCTCTCATCATGCCATAGCCTGCGGAACGAAGAAGAGTGCTTTGCCCATCAATATTCAGGACAAAGATTCTATTTTTCTTTGCAGCATACTCAATAGAAGATCCAACAACGTAAAGAAGAGAGGAAACTGTCACCACTATTAGCGTTCAAGTGAGAAAGAAAGCCAGCAGGGGAGCTGCTTTGCCTAATGAGACTGGAGGAGCTGCCGGAGACCGGAAACGAGCTCTCCACCGAGCTATGGCTCGGCATCTGCTGCGGTTGCTGCTGCTGAAGGTGGAACATCGTGTGCGGAGCAGAGGAGAAGCCTCTGCTCTGCTGCTCGTTAACCTCCGGCGCCGCAGGCGGCGGCGGAACGTGAGGACTGCTGTGGCCAGCAGAAGAGGCGGCGACACCTGAGGGCTTGTCACGGACCTCGTCGCGGGGATCCGGCGCCAAGAAGCGGGCGTACATGGTCTCGGTCTCGTGGCTGGCGGCACTAACAGGGTCGAATTCCTCGCAGACTTCACCGAGCAGCGAGCTTGGGGCCGATCGATACCGGAGGAGGCCCGAGCTCATCTGCTGGTGGTGGTGGTGGTGGTGGTGGTGAACGAGCAGATCGGATCCAGGTTCCTCTGTTCGCTGCACACCGAAAGGACCGGCGGACGGGTAAGGAAGGTTGAGATCTTTCAACGGCGGCACCGGATGAGATCTGTACATCGCTTCTCCTCTTCCTTCCACCAAATTTGGCCTCCTGGAGCTACTAATTTGCTGAAAAGCTCTAACAGATCGGAATCAACACGATAGCAGAAGCTTCAATGCAGCTGAAACCTCACGCTTCCTTCTCTTCGTCATTGCGGAAGCTCCAAGAACCAATCTTTCGTACGAAATCACCGACATGCAAAGTAAAAAAAACCCCATAAATAAGCAAAATTCCCAGATGGGAGCGCAGGAAATGAATCGGCCGTTGGACGAAGACTCACTTACCGTCAGAAATCGTGAGGGAAGAACCGACAAAAGCCGTTCCTTTCACTGCTCGCCTCGCTCCTCGAAGCCATTAGATTAGTCTGCTCGCATCTTGAGGACCACCGAGAGACAGCTTCTTCGTTGGACCGATCGATCGATCTAAAGCGAAACCAAGGAAGTGGTTTTCTGGCGTCGGTCACTACGACTCCGCGAGAGAGAGAGAGAGAGAGATAGAGGGGGGGAAGCAGAGCGCAGAATAACCACCGCAATCGGGGCTATTTATAACATCGAAGTGACGGAAAAGCCCTTCGAACCAATCGTCAATCCCCAAAACGCCACGCGTTTGGTGGCTCGGAACCGTAATAGTATTGACTTGCTCTCTAGATTTTAGTTGCTATATTGGGACCATCACGAAGTATTCTCAAGTGTGGGGCCTACGTGTTCTTGATCCACTTTTAGCATCGCACTTACATATGGGTTCGGATTTGGGTCCACCTCGATTAATCGAGTCAAATTACGAATTTATTGCTTGGAATTGGCAGGATCGACATTAATGGACTTTGATCGATCAGATGTTTGAAGTCGTCTACAAACATAATCTCAAAAGGACCTTTTAGGATTCCGACAGACAACTCCCACATGCCTCCGTTTTCATATTCATAAAAATAAATAATTATTTATTAGATAATATCTCAGGTAAGGTCCATAATTCTTTATTATGAGATAAGTGGATAAGTACATTTGACCTCAACATCAATCATAAATTATATTAATTTATCTAAAATATTATATAATAATTTATTTTTAGAGGTTTCGAAACTTCGACTCTACTAACTTCAGTATTAGAAAGGTATTTGTTATAACAATATTTATTGAATATGAATAAAAAGAATTAGTATCGAAAGAATTATTATTGAAAATGTTGTAATAGAATTTGATAATATATTTTTTTTACCATGTGAAATCGAATCCAAATGCACCCAAAAAAAGAAAAAAATATTATATAATTATTGATTAGAAACAAAAAGAAATAAAAATGAGTAGATAAGAGTTTGTTACACAAAACATAATGTTTATGTGATGCCATGATAAATATTTCTGATCCAATAACCGTTTTTTTTTTTTCTAAAAAGATATGTTTAAATTATTAAAAATACAATCCATTATATTTACAAACTTAAAAAAAAGTTGATATCCAATCTATAAATTTTAATGGTGCTAATCAAATAAGCTATGCAGATCTCAAACTATAAAAGTAGATCACATAGGGAAATGGATGCAACCCATGAAAGAGGATCCAATATAATTATATTTATCATATATAAATATAATTATATATCCTATAAATACAATTTTACAGTAGCCATTGGCCACACCTTTTTATTATCAGTGTCACGTGCAATCCACGAGTCTTCCATGAGCTGATGTTGATGGGATGCTGACGTCACTGATGAGAGTTGCACAAATAATATGAATAATAATAAAGTCTGCTTCAATATTATATTTTATATATATATATATATATATATATATATATTTATATACACTTCCATATATATATATATATATATATATATATATATATATATAATAAATGTATGTATATAGGAAAGATGTGTTTCTACTAAAAGACAAAAACCCCTTTTTTATTCTTGTATTTTCTTTGTTTATTGATTTCATTTTTCTATAGTTCTATCTGTCTAGACTCATTCAATATCTAAATCTGGATTAAGGTTCTAAGGAAACCATTATGACATATAAATATAAGTAACTACCTTGGTGAATTTTATTGCTTTTAGTAGCCATCAATGATGAAAGCTAATGCAAATTAATTAATAACATATAAAATCATTAATACAATTATAAAACATGTATTGTGAAATCTGATGATTGTCAACAACACTTGTTTTTATGTAAAGTTGCAGCTTCTAATGTCATGATATTCCTTCTTTACACAAACATGGGTGAGACTATCAAAGGATATTTCATTGGTTTTGATTAATTAATCTGTTGGTGATTAACTATGATAGCATAAAATAACATTATAACTGAAGCAAATAAAATATTGCAGCTTATTTCTTAATTTACTTGCTAAAAATCATGGCATGTGTGATCACTGTTGTTCCACATAGCCTTAATATGCAAAGCATTGTTTAGATGTCATTATCTTGAGCATTATAATGTCAGTGGCAGCAGCCATGAAGATAGTAAGAAAATATAGCATCAAAGGTTCCTTCCATGGCCTCATCAAGGAGGTCATCTGATAGCACAAGGGATTAGGGATCTCCTTGATTCCAGCTATGCATTGGAGGAGGAGGAATCATATTCTCAGATGCTATGCTTCGGTTTGTTCCTGCAGAATATGTACCCCATATTCCTAAGGTGGTCACGCATAAGAGAGCATAAAAATGACCTGAAGTATCTCAATTAGTGAGGTGTCACCATCTCAACATTCTTCAAGTTCATGCTGTAGAGATTGTTTCCTACATTCCCACAATGTGAAGTTTATCTGACCATAAGTATCATCTTCTCCATGTTCCCAGTTATCTGAAGTGTACATTAGAAGATGCAGTTTTAGTCACTGTCATTTGAGGATCAAATATATGGCCACAGTGACAACAAGTAACCACTGTGGACTCCAGAAATGTTGCATCAGAGATGGGAATTAGTGGTTCAACATCTAAAATATAAATCTATTGTAGTACATTTAACTGCATGGAAATAGGAGATGGCATTTGAACAGCTGCAAGTGTTTGTAATGATGGCTATCCTATCTGTTTCCTGTCTACATTTCATCTTAGAACAATGAACCTTTTGTTTCACAAAGTTCGATCTGTCACTTCAGTCAATCAATCAACACAAATTTTTTTCCTTCTCCTCCTCCTCCTCCTAAATCAAACAAGCTTAATCATAGAGGTGTAACATGATGAATTAAGTCTCAGATAATCTTGAGTGCTATTGGTGAAATGGGGAATCCATGTTTAATGCTTCTGAAAGATGGAACATATCCTACTATCCATCTCTCTACCTTCCCTATCAGAATGAGGAAGTCTGCGTCTGCCACGGAATCCTGGGAAGATGTTGTAGTGCTCTTTATCTTTTTAGTGCATTATCTCTTTCTCTGTGGCACTTGTTCTTATTTATTATATAAAACTGGAATGGGACTGTGAAAATAGCTATGGAGAAGCAACCTACCCTGCGCAAGAGTCAGATTCCCTATCTTGTGATGCTATCTTGCTGTCACTATCTCATGTGTTGAGGTGCTTTAGCATTGGATGTGGAATCATGGCACATTTTGAGCTGACATATGGATACCCTTTGAGCTGATGAGACATTGTTCCCATCATATGGAATCATTGTTGCAATAGTGTGTGGCTGCTATATATATACTCTACAATTGTTTAGTCAGTGAAAGTTGGATGTAGTGTTGCAGTTCTAATTGTAGATAAATCTTGGGAAAAATAGTATTAGTGCCTAATGTTGCTTTTCTAAAGATTAAATATGCCACTATGTTTAGTATATAATTTGCATTGTTGAAATGCATTTGATGTCCATCTAAGATTCATTATTGCTCTTCTCAACGGTACATACAGAGTGGTTTTGATATATTTCAGTAAAACAAATAATATCTATCTTGTGACACTTATAAGTGAATATTGTAA